CTTCTAATGACACACACCACATATCATTCTGATCAATTAATCCAAATATAAGTTACATAAAATTAGTTATTTCACAGTGGTGCAAAATTATATGCCAGATATGTACAAATAAATTACTATGGTAAGAATAAACAAATTTTTAATGCATAATGCTGAAGGTAAGTGAATACTGCATTTTTCTTTATTTAAAAAGCAAAGTGTAAGTTGCAGCTTAAACTTTGAGCACATTTTTAACTATGCCTTGACGAAAGGTGCTAACTGATTTTGAAAAAAGTCAAACTGATAGTTTACACTCAAATGGCAAGTCAATAAGTGAAATATCTGCTACCATTCATTCTCTTTAAATGTCATTACAAATTACAACAATCCTGATGGTTATCACAGTAAGAAAAGAAGTAGAAAGTCTTCTTCACTTTCAAGCCTTGACAAAAAAAAATGATTTGACAAGCAGCTATTATTAAAAATATTACTGCAAACCAAATTCTGCTTTAAAATGGACCCTTGGAAGAGTGCTTCATTTATCTTCTCATCTATATATATAATTGAGATGGGTTGATAATAATAAGTGCAGAGCCCAAAGGTTAAGACCTTTGGGCTCTGCAACTAGTTTGTGACACCTTTGTAAAAATATTTGGTAGTTATTTGTCAGTGGCTTACCATGAGATTTGATGATTGGAAAGTTGTTTTCCATAAAAGTTTTAAACAAATACTAGAAATTACAAAAATAAACAGTTGAAAGTTGAAAATTTGGTACATAGTTAGAGTACATGATGAGAATGTACACTAAGAAGGAATTTTTGGAAATTCCTTATAGGGGGAAGGGTTAAGGATTATCCTGAAGAACTCTGCTTCTACTGTTCTATTTTAGATGCAGTTTTTTGCATTTTTACAGAAAATAAAACATATTTTTAGACCCAATTAAAAATTCTCTGATTAGCCTCGGAAGAGGGAGGACCCCTGGTGAAAACAGATAAGATCGACTATATAACTATAAAGGTTCTTACGCAAGGGTTTATCACACCAAATGATCAATCTAACACATTTTTAAAACTCTTTATTTCTCCACTGTACACAATTTAAAGAATTTTTAAAATGTGTTAGATTGGGCACTCAATATGATAAACTCTTACATACCTTTGTAAATATAAATCAAATACTATAATTTAATATAGTAGAGGGTTAGAAGTATGAAATAAACTAATAATCTTAATCTTTGCTGTTGTTATTTTTTGCCCAAGCAGGGTTCATCTGCTAGTCTAAAATATTCAAAACAGATACCCAACCCTGTCTGAAAGATCACCATAAGATAGCAAGAGTTTAATGGGCAAAGACAAAGATGAGTTGGACAGCTAAGTGATGAGAAATTGTTTTCAGTGACAAAAAATGTTCAACTTGGATGGCCCGGATGGGTATCAACACTACTGCCACATCATCAGAAAAGAAAAGCAAGATTATTTTAAATATATCCAAGGCCTGGGTCAGTAATAATTTGGAAAATTTGAAATTGTCTTCTAAATCAGTGGATGAATGCAACAGCATATCAGAAAGAGCCAACAGACCAACAGAACATATCCTTCCAATTGGCAAAAAATTGAAAGAGCAAAATGCAAATTATGACATGATGATGTTCCCATACATACTGCTTTAAGTGATGTCTGAAGCAAACAGTGGTTTGCATTGAACAACATCCATATAATTGACTAACCAGCACTCTCTCCTGACATAAACCCTATTAAAAATTTATAAGGCATCAAAATGATAGACAGTTCTAAACAGTTGGAGAGTTGAAATTAGCCATCACAAGAGAATGGCAGAAAATCAGTGTTAAAAGCCTGCAAAATTTAATTATTTCAATGCCAAAAAGTATATTTGCAATTATTTCCAAATACAGAAAATCAATTGATATATAAATATGTTTATTGTTTGAGATTCAGTGAATAAATAGAAGGTGACATATAATTTTGAACCACCTTGAAATGGCTGTTTTTGCATAATTAATGTTTGGATTAATCAATTAAGATAACATTTGGTGTAAGTCAGAAGATAATATTAAACAATTATGTAAAATTTTGTCCATCCACTCTAAATAATCCAAAAGATTTTTTTCAAAAATTACACTGGCTTGTAATTCTGTACCACACTGTATATAAAAACAGACAAAACACTTAAACCAGAATATATTATCTCAAATTAGCCCTTTTACAGTTTCATCTGCTTATAACAGACATCTTCAGGTATATATAATGCAGAACTGAACAGACAAATTAAAATCAAATATGCTTTTATGAACAAATTAAAAATTCAATTTGAGGAACTGAATTTGTAATTTATTTGTAATTTGAGGCAATATATGCTGGTTTAAGTGTATTTTCTGTGTTTAAGTGGTATATTCCAGTTTTAGAAGAGTAACTGATATATATAAAAGGTATTTAATGCTTATAACAGGAATTGCCAATGCTGATACAAGTTAGGAGATTAATTATTTTGTATGCTAAAAAGCACCATATTTTAAATACCTTTGAACTTTTCTCCTTGAAAGTGCATGCTATAGACAAACTATAAACTGACTCTAAGACCCTGGTTAACCTACCCCTTTACATGCTATTTCATTATAGCAAGTTTGCCAACAACACTGAGAAATATTAAATACGAAACCTGCTACTGGTGTAATTTTGCATGAAAATTACTGGTTAAAATTACCGAAACCTGTTACTGGTGTAATTTTTCGAAGTGTTCCGTTGAAATTTTTTCTCTACCTGAAGAAGAGCTATCTCGACAGCTTGAAAACGTTTGTGAAAGGAAGATTTTTTCACGCAAAATTACACCGGTAACAGGTTCCATATTTAGTATTTCATCCCTGGTGTCAGAGTGAAGTTAATTTACTTAACACTGAGAAAGCAATTTCCCAAATTTTTTGTTACCCATTTAAATTTGAAATTTCATTTCTTACATGTTATTAACAGTCAATGGGTTTTGTTGGATTTCCATTCATTTAACATTCAGAAGTTTTGACTGACTGGCAGATTTTAAATGTAAACTTTCAAATTGAAAAATAAAAATCAATACAAAATTTTGAAATTTTATGTTTTCATTGGTTAGAAAAATTCAATTCACTAATGTTGATTTCACCGGTTTAAATGTATGATCTTCGTAAGAGATTATTTTTGACATAACAGAACAGAGAGACATTCTTTTGCATCTACTATCTATATTGTAAGTATAATTCTTAAAATTTTGCATAAATATGTCTAAATATCATGTTTGTACAATTATATATGAATTTTCACTTATCTCTATTTATGTAAGATTAAAATGGCTTAGTTTAGTACTTTGAATTCTAGTAATGTATCGTCCATCTTAACTGTATTTTATAGACTAAGCAAACATGATTACAATTTTATTGTAATCATGTTTGCTTAGTCTATAAAATTTTACATTACCAAGTTTAACCAAGTTGTGTTCTAACAAAGATAATATTAAATGGACATGAGACAAAATATATTTGATTAATTATTAAATATCATGACAACCGTATAAACTTATAATTTGTATGTTTATATAGGTACTAAAAAAGAATAAATCATAACCAATTCCTGAGAATTTTAATACTGTATACCATTATATGTATGTGTATATGGTGGTGTTTCATATGTGTATAAACATTTGATAATCTTGCATCATTAGAACTGGTGCATCAGTAGATAAATGTATATATTTGTGTTTTCTTGATAATCTTCAGAAAATGTATAAAAAAAAAAAAATAGATCTGATTAGTTTGTTATGAAGTTTTAAGAGAATACAATGATCTGAGATGCAGTTCTGTTTTGTTCATCTAATGCAATTTGTGATTTAGATTTTGTTTTTCAAAACTCATTAACCATCACATTAAATTTTATTATATAAATATGTACTAAATGCTTCACATTGATTTTTCCCAATGTTATTTAAGTTAAAATGCTACATGAATGGTAACATAATGTGTGACAATCTCCATTAATATTTAATACTTTATTTTTATATTATGTTATTTAATCTATGTGATCTTCATATTGTGCATAATATTAAAATAATGTATTTTTTAAGTTTTGAATAAAATTTTATTTTGTTTTTGTTTTGCTTCATTTTTTTCTTTGTTAATGACTACAAGACAGCTATAAATAAATCATAGGTGAGATCCTGCTATTATCACATTGCTCTCTCTTTCTCTCTCTCTCTACATAGAGTATATAAAACCTATTCATAAATATGCATAAACTTCAACATTTATTATTAAAACATTAAAAATAACAAATATAATTAAAAAATTACACAAAATAAAATTTATAAATTAGACACACCAATGAACTCTAATCTAGGACATAATGAAATTACATTTTTATAAATATTCAAATTATGCCAATTTCTTTAAAATTTAATTTAAAAGATAGGAAAATTTTTGCTCAGCTGATAGCCCTTTCAGATCAGCTAGCTACTTTGATTAGGCTATTTGATATTAACTCAAGATCTAATAAATCAGCAAGTACATTTTTTAAGTGTAAATTTAAATTTCTCAAGAAACATCATGATTTTTTTGTGAATGAAATTAATTTATTTTGTTAATATGGTTAATAATTGTTTTTGACATCTTGAGTACAAAGATATAAAATTTATAGCAATATTAATTAATTGTGACAGCTGCATTTTCTTCTCAATACATATAAAATGGTACCAAATTTAACAACAATAAAGACAACAAAAATTTGCATCAAAATCCAATAAACATTTATTAAAATATTTTATGTTATTAAAATAAACAAAAACAGTAAAAAATATTGATATACTGTATAATGATTCAAATCTAAAGTAATTGTCTTTTTTCAATTTTCCTAAATAGATATTAGAATAAATATAATTTAAATTAAAAATTTAGAAAAGCATGTATATTTTAAATAATTTATACAAATTCCATGAAAACAAAATAACCAAAAATATATTCTTCAGAAAATTAAAATAATTGTTTAATGTTAAATTGATCACTAGTAATCTTATATGTAAACATTAAGGGAAATAACAGTAGTCTTTAGATAATAATATAACAGTTTCTACAATGCTGATAATTAATTGTTCAATGCCTGTAAAATATTTGCATATGAAAAAATGTCATACCAAACACAAAAATTGAAATTTAAAAAAAATCAACTGCATTTGACATAAAAAAAATATTTTAATTTTGCTATTTACTAGCAAAAGTAACAAAAGTAGCTCTTGTCTGACAAATATTTTATGCTAATTAATAGCCACTATACCTTCCTTTTGGTCTTGTAAACACATTACAGTTTTTGGAAATAAAAATAATAAAATTTTTTTTCACAATATGTTTTTAACTGTTAATAGATGATTCGCTCTCTCTGGTTATCAACTTCAATTGGATTTATATTTGCATGTGGCAAGGATTGGCAACTTACAGCCTGAATGCAGTTTTTATCCGGCCCATACCTGAAAACAAAAAAACTGAAATGTGGATATTTTAACGGTTGTATTTGTCTTTCAATAGGAAACAGAATGTGTAAAAACATTTCATGTTAGAACTTATATTTATAAATTTCGTAGCAGTTACTTCATAATTAAAACAATGTGTATGGTTCTTTTATAGGTACAATGCATATAAAATTGGATAAAAGCATTTTATTACCAATACTTTATTAATATTTAATTATTATAATATTAGATAAGTTTTCTGAAACTTTTTTCACACTGCTTTAAGTTATTCTTATTTCCTAAATTGTTCTAAAATAAAAATTTTAAACTTATTCTGACATAGTTATAATCATATCAATATCAGCAAGTGTTTGCATGATATCATGCCAAAATAAAAGTAACACAGTTTATATAATTTTAATCAGTATTTTTTATGACTACATCTATGAAAAAACAGGATTTTTTACATATGAAACAGCTCATAAAGCTTAGTAGTTATATAATTAATTTCTTTATAAAAGTGAATCTTATGGAAAATTCTAAATTATTCATGTTTGAAATAGTTTTGTACACTGAATGATTAACAATTAAATGATAAACTTAAAAAACAATGTATTGTATTAGAAAATTTAATTTGTAATATTTTTATGGCATCAAGTCTAAACATAATATTTTAAAGTATCATAATTTCATGAAGATAATCCATGGTGGCATATAATCTGCAGAAAATTGCTAGAACAGAAATGAAACTTTTGTGTAACAAATTCCATCATATATCCAATTTCCACGGAACAGTTGTTGAAAACCATGAGGTCCAAGATATTAGTATACAATTTAGAAAGTTTCATCTCAAACATTAAAAATTTTTGGGCTGCAATTTGAAAAAACTGTAGACCTGTAAATTCCCACTGTCATCCATCCATCTTTCCTTAATATTGAGAACAGGGTTAGATAGATGAAAGATGAGACCAGATATGGAAACTTAGAGCAGGAGGCCCTGATTAACTATATATGAAATTGCAATGCAAACTGAAAGTCATGTTATTTTAATTCAAAAGTTTTTCCCTGAACAGCACAACTCTATTGTTAAAGGAAAGTATAATGTACAGGGGCAAACCACTATTAATTTGAGGTGGAGAACATATATTTTAAATTAAAAACTTAAAAATTGTAGCCCAGCATTGTGATGATATCACAATAATTAATTGCTTGTTCTATTACACTTCATTTGTACAATTCAAATGTAATTATAAAATAAATAAAAACAAAATGCTGAGAAGAAATTTCCTAAACTTCACGTGTGGAAAATACAAATGACTATTACATGACAACATTTTTTTTTACCATATTTCATTACCATTTTACATATCAAATCATATTAATAAAATATATGATGATGATGATATACATTAGAGTAAAGCATTCAATAAATTCCACAATCATGGTATTGTATACACCAGCAGTTACCAACCTTCCTGACCTCATAAACCATTAAACTCACAATTCTGAATCCTGCAGACCACTATCACAAATTTTTTAATGATGAGAATTTGATACAGAATGAGCTGTTTTCTTTCATCCCTCTTCTGATATATAAAATGAAATTTTCAATGCAATGAGTACTGAATGATATTTACAAGAATGCAACATTTTAATCTTGGAATTGAAATTCCTACTTGCTCAGATTAAATGACTTGTAGATTCCAGCTTTCATTTTGTTTCATTCACTTTGTGTCAATTTATTCTAATGCAGTTGTAAAGTTTAGTAGACTTTATATTAGAAACTTTTCTATTATTGCCTTGTAAATTTATTAATTAAAAACAATGTTATTTTACTCTATTTTCTTTTCTGTTTACTTATTGTACTTTCTTGCAATTAAAGAAAGAAATATCTGAGAATTTACATAGTTGTTTCTCTTATGTTGTTTCCACTTCTTTAATTTTGTATTACTGTTGTTCCTTTTACATCGATGAATAACCTAATCAACAATTTCATTTTAATCATTTTATTTCATTTCATTTAAATTTATTGGTTGGTAGGAAAATAGTATTTTGTATCACTAATATGTTATTTGAGGAACTTGGGTAGGATAACAGTTTATGCTGGAATAAAGTGCAAAATTTAACCACAAGGAATAATGGTTGAATTGTTGAATGGCTCATCCCTACATACACAATTTTGATTTACAAGTGATTTTGAGGAATGAGATACATAAATTGGGGATTATACTTTAATGTTTCATATGAATATGCAATTTATACATACTGAACAAATATATTATTATTAACAACAGCTATATACATACTCTAGAATGTTTTCTGAATCTGCATTAATTTTATAGAGTCATGTAGCAATTATATTTATTTACTTCTATCCAATTGGTACATATTGTAACTTAAACTGCAATTGCCAAGTGTGTTTAGCTGTACAGCATATACAGGTTGGGTAAAAGTCCATAAAAACTCTAAAATATTCATAAAACATTGGAAGAATTATCTGAATGAAATGTGGTTTGTGTAGTAAATATTGTCAGCATGAAAGCTTTTGTTAATGGGGAAAAATTAGTTACAAAAATCACCAATAGTTGGCATTGACACACAAAAGAAATGCAAGCAAACAATGAAAATGACTTTCAATGTGTTTATTAGACAAGTAAGTGTTTGACATTGCCTCCTCCACAGGGTATAAAACAATTCAGCTACGTAACAATATCTGTAACTATAGAACATTGCAGGCATTGAGTTAGTGAGTGAGGGTCCAGATGGATGGTTGTTACCTCACAGTGAATAGCATTTTTCTATTCCAACAATGTGGAATGACCTGACTGAAACACTTGGAACATTAAATACCAAAATCAGAAATCATATTCAAAATCATTTTCATTGTTGTTTACATTTCTTTTGTGTGTCAAAGCCATCTATTGATATTTTTTGGAACTAATTTTTTCTAGTCAACAAAAATTCCTGCCTGTGCTGATAATACTTAATCAAACCATGTTTCATTCTAATAATTCTTTCATTTTTTATGAATGGTTAAAATTTTTGCAGATTTTTTCCCACCATATTTTACACTCATTGACAAAAAAGTTGTGCACCCAGATAGAATTACACAATTTCTGAAAAATTCAGTACATAGCTATGTCCCAGAGGTATGTAAATGATTATGGTTGTGGTCTGATTGTACTCCAGATAATGTTCCCAGAGTGCCCTAAAACTGTTACATCAATTTTATAGCACTCTGCAAAGTTTGCAAAGGTTTACTGTATTCAGAATTTTCAAGGCATCTATTGTTTGAAGATCTTTAAATGCTAGACATGCATATTTGATCAGTCAAAGACATTATGCACAGTTGACAATGTTTGAGAAAAATTGGGCTAAGGGAAACAGGGTAACCACTTTGATGGACTGCTTGCCATCTGAGCCATTCTGACTTCTGTTTGAGACAATATAAGAGCAAACATAAAGCAAGCAGATTCTGAATGCTACAGATAGACCACCAGAACAAAGGCATGTCTGATTATGGGATAAGCATGAGCATCTGCAAACAGAATCCTATATTATTTAGTAAACCATCTTCAGAGTGTCATTGTCCATCATCCAGAGATAGGTGGAAGTCATGCTATGGAACTCTCTCTCTTCCTATACCATTGGCAGGCAATTAGCAGAAGCAAATTTGCATGCACAGCTACTGTTACAAATGCAGCCATTAGTACCTCAACATCATCAGCTTTGTTTGCAGTGGAATGCCATGACAAAGATGCATGCACTGTTATAGATGGCAGAATATCATCTTTAGCAAGAAATCTCAGTTTTGTTTGAGAATGGTTTACCATCATGTTAAGTGTATGGAAGACCACTGGTAAGTACTGCCTTTTATTGTTGAGCAGCACTGTCTCCAACGCTGGATGAACAAATTGAAGTACAATTTACTTCCCTATATACTTTATTTACATTAATATTTAGCTCATCTGATTTCTATCTATTTAGTGTTGCCAAGTTTCTTGTACAAAAAAGGACAACATTGACAAACATTGTGCAATGGAGAACTTTTACAATTTATGGTTAGTCAATAAATATTTATAGAATATTAAATAGACAATAAATAAAATTTTAATCTTAATATTACAATTATTACCACTGTTGTAAATGCCACCCTAATTAAATCCTTAAATTTTATCTTCTATTTGCTGTCCAATTAATAGTAGTAGTGTCTTTCTCTTTCTGTTACTGTAATGAGTGATAACAACAAGCCCATTACTTTAGAATAAGAAAATAAAATATTGGAACATCATCTGCTAATAATATTTCAGAGATCATAAAGTAAAATTTAAAAAAATAAACAACATTTTACTCAAAAAAAAAGGACATCATTTACATAAGGAGGATGAGAAGAGGATACAGTTCAATCGAGAACAGTTGATGACAACCCTTTGTAAATAGATTATTTAAAAAGCCAAAAAATTTATTGTTGGAAAGAAATTTGTCAAACAAAGATGATAGCAACAATAGATAGTCATTTTACATAGTTTCTAAAATTATTTCAAAATGTCATTGGACAAAATGTATTGATATTAGGAAAACTACATTTTTAAAAATAAAGATAATTTCTGAAACATACAGTCTGCTTTTACATCTCATTCTGAGAACTCTTTGAATGACTCATATAAAATTACTAAAAAGTTTTAAACAAAAATATTAACAAAATCTGTAAAGTAAAATTTAATAATTGATAGTTCTTTATCTGCTTTGTTTAAGCAGATAAAAAGCATCTAGAAGATTGATCTTATTTGACAGCTCTGTACTTATTTTTGTGATTTCAATGTCTTGGAGAAAGTTAACTATGCATTTTTTTGGCAAAAAATATACTTTTGTAGTTCAGATTATGTCCTGATCATAAGGTTGGATGAGTGATGTATTGGGTAGCAAACACATTTTTTTTAATGCAAATTAAAATACTTGTCTCTTGTTGCACTGCACAATTGTCAACAAACAGAAGGATCTTAAGGGTCTGGTCTCAC